CGGCCAGAGGACACCTTGCTACACAAAGTATGACGTGGTTTTCTGTCTTGTGGGGATACTATTGGAGATTAAAATAGTTTACTTGTAAAATATTAGAATTAATAGTGGGATCATTTAAAATTATGATGAATTGCAATTTGTTTTATGAGTGACATTTCTTAGCACGAGTAGCCAGATTTACTGAAGCCTTAAGCCCAGACTGTGGACTTTTACTTCAGTGCTGATTAACTTAGGATGAAGAAAGGCCCTGAAATCAATGCTACTGAGAAAGAAGAGACCAGCAGAAACTACATCTTCGAGATAAAGAAAAGAGTGCACGCCTGGAGATGGAAAAAGGATCCAGTGAGGAACAAGAAGACCCCAGACCCAAATATCACTATGGGACTGAACCATCGTGTGAGAGGAGGAGAACTTGGATTGTCCGGGTATAATTGCCCAGAGAGCTCTTTGTTCAGGATCCCTCTCAGAGGATCCCAGCTTGAGCTGAAATAAACCCACTCCGTGACAGAACCTGGGGTCAATCTCTTCTTTACACTCAGGGGCTCAGACTGGATCCAGCTGCACCTGGACTCCTCTCCGTGAGGAAGTTTAGAAAGCAAGGGGGTCCAGTTCTCCTCATGACTTGCCAGGAGGACCTTCATGGGCTCTTCTATAACAGATACAGAAAATTCTAATTGTGGTTTTCATTTGTTTCTCCCCAACTAAGTAAGAGGATTCTGAATGTAACAGGGAATATATGGGAACAGGAAAGCAAATGCTCTGAGCTCCCAAAATGTTAGGAGGCACTTCCTGGGTTTCACAATAATCCACCATGTTCAGGGCTGAGCAGGTTCCCCACAGAGAGGTCTGTAGCCAGAGGCTCTGGTGCTCTGCTAGGGTATGGTTTTGTCTTGACTTTGCCGGAAAAGCCAACGCCTTTGGAAACAGAGACTTGACTTTCCATGGATGGCCAATGTGAGTCACGACTTGCTGAACTTTCAGGGACTCTCTCTGGGAGTGCTCCTAGTCCTTCTAGCACTTACGTCTATGTAATCCCACTGCAGAAGATCGTTTTTCAGAACAAAGCACAGCAAACTGTGGCAGGAAAAGTTTGAAGGAGATCCCTTGTCCTGCCCCATGCAAACAGCGGTGGAGAGGAAGCCACTTGTTGCAAATGAGGGGTTTTTTAAAAAAAGCTTGCACTGGCTGCATAAATCCCACATGGTCTACTACATATCCCAGAACCCAAAAGGATATTCTTTGGTTTAGCAGCATGGGCTCTCTTTGCATCAGCAGAGGCTGTTGTAAGGACTTTATGAAAAAGCAACAGACAAGGGTGTAAATTTTGGTTTCAAAATTACAGTCAAAACAGCCTGTACTGTGCCAGCCTAATAGGACAATGGGGCTAACGTGCAGAGAGATGTGTAATGTGTGAGCAAAGGCTATATCTGATGCAGGATCAGGTACTTTGCTGTTTGAGCTTCTTGCAAGCACAGGAGCAGATGGGAGAGGGCAAGAGTTGGTGCTACCATCTGCATACCCCTATTTTGAGGAATAATATTAGGGAAAACTCCCATTTCTCCCTGTTTTCCCTCTCTTTGGTCTTTTACTCATATCTTCTTGCCTTTGTGCTTCCTCACTCTGTCCAGAACAACAGAATTGGCAAAGGTAGGCTCACTCCTCGGCTGCTTGCACTGCTAACAGAGAAATCCAAATGAGCCATGCTGCACTTTACTCCGGAGGTTTATTTCCTCTAGAAAGCTGTTCCTGCTCCCAGAGAAGTCAATGGAAGCCTAATTAGTCCCAGATGTTTAGTAATAACAAGCACTTCCTTTTGGTAGAGCCAAACAAAAGCAGTGTTACAACTGTTAATTAAATGGGTTTGGCTCTGTGTGAAGTTATTAACTAATTCCAGCCGTGGCAGCCAAGCTAATGCTGGCTCTCAGAAGGAGATAAAATCTTGCTGCGCTCGACACAAAAGGCGTGAACTCGGTGTGTGGCTAAATTAGCCCACGCCTGGGCACACAGCTCAGCTTGCTCTCACACTGAAGGAAAAGTTCACCAGCTTCAGCATAAAAGGCTTCCAACTAATCCCTTTATCAACCACCTGGATGAGGGGATCAAGTGCACCTTCTGTAAGTTTGCAGATGACACCAGGTTGGGCGAGAGCGTTGATCTGCTGGAGGACAGGGACGTTCTGCAGAGGTACCTGGACAGACCTGGTCGATGGAGCAAGGCCAGTTGTGTGAGGTTCAACAGGAAAATGCCAGGACCTGCCCCTTGGATCAGAACAACCCCATGGAATTCTAGAGACTTGAGGATGTGTGGCTGAAAGACTGCATGTCAGAAAAGGCCCTGGGGGTGCTGGTGGGAAGTGGCTGAACATGAGCCAGCAGTGTGCCTGAGGGGCCAAGAAGGCCAATGGTGTCCTGGCTTCTATCAGGAATAGTGTCACCAGCAGGACCAGGGCAGGGATTGTCCCTCTGTGTTGGCACTGGTGAGGCCGCATCTCAAATCCTGTGTTGAGTTTTTGGGCTCCTTATGACAAGAAAGACACTGAGATGCTGGAGGGTGTCCAGAGAAGGGTGTTGCAGGTCGTGAAGGGTCTGGAGCATGAGTTTGATGAGGAGCAGCTGAGGGATTGTTTGGTGTGGAGAAGAGATGGCTGAGGGGAGGCCTTCTCACCCTCTACAACTACCTGAAAGAGGGTTGTAGAGAAGTGGAGTTCATTCTCTTCTTGCTAGTAGCTAGAAATAGGACAAGACTAAATGGCTTCAAGTTGTGTCAGGGGAGGTTTAGGTTGGATATTAGAGGGAACTTCTTCACATAAAGGGTTGTCAAGTACCAGAATAGGCTACCCAAGGAGGTAGTTGAGCCACCATCCTTGGAAGTGTTAAAAAGATGAGTAGATGTGGGGCTTAGGGACATGGTGTGGGCTGGTTTGATGGTTGGACTTTACGATATTAAAGATGTTTTCCAACCAAAACTATTCTATGATTCTATGTTTGCTGCTTGTGCAATCTTTCTCCTACCAGACTAAGAACTTAAGCCAATGGGTGGCATTGGCTTTCATCAACATTAGATCAAGCCTTGTTGCTCACAGTTTGTGCAACTGCTTGTCTGCATACCATGCACAGATCTCCTCTTTCTCCATTGGTTGTACTTTACGATATGGAGCAGCTGTCCCTGCCTCAGGACCAGAAGGAAAGGTCTGTGGACACTGTAGACAAATAGGAAGACATAACTTTTCATCTGTGGAGCATTCCAAGCTGGTGCTTTAATATATTCACAACCCTGGTGCTTTTAACAAAAAATCAAAGGCATTTTTATTGTACAAAACCCCACAGTGAAAACTACCAGCCAGTTTCTTATGTAACTGCTTTAAAAATAGATTTATACACCTTTTTTTTTTTTTTTGTAGTGTGTTAATTTTGACATTCACTAGATGGAAGAAACAGAAATGGAGCAGCAATTTGTCTCTGAGTTATTTTCCTGAACAGGTTTTGATTTGACCTCTTTTTCTCTTATGTGCCTTAATGTACAGTTCGCAGCATTAACGGAAAACCTGATATAGCTCCTTCTGAAGCCATCGAATCCCATTAGTAGGTCAGGCTCCCACCTTTTTTTTCACTTCAAAAGGATGAATTTGCTGTCAGAGCACAGGACATAACATACATCAATGTTGGCTTTTAGCAATGTAACAAGTTGGCCATGTTAAAAACCCAACACAGAGTGAGGACCTACATAACTCTTCTTGCAACCAGTCCTCCAGACCATAACATTTTTGGGGGAGAGACAGTGGACATCTGATCTGAACAATGGCCCAGGACTTGGTTCCCTGTGTATTGTTTCACACTGGTATCCTGAGAACACATTTTTTCTGTCTAACTTCCTGTAACCTTTAAAAATAAGATTTTTTTATTATTATTACATTTTGCATTGAAATGCAACTGGATGCAGTGACCTCCCAACACTTTTCCTTAGAAATATAAAGATTTCAGTCCAATGCTAGCTGGTTGAAATCCACTCTCCAAGATTTTCCCTTTAAAAAGTGTTCACCTCGGAGATGAATTTCTTCACATTAAACCCAGTTAAATATGTATTGCACGCGAGGGGTAGATTTCTCCTCTTTGGGTTGAACTGTGGACCTGTGACCTCCTGAGCAGATCTGGGTGACATATAGTGCAGCTGTTTCACACCTGAGACTTCTCTTACATCCCTCGTGGGTATGAGGTACCAAGACTAATTGACCTCATCTGCCTCTCATGACTTTGCCCCCATGACTGGGAAAAGCAAAGGGAGGTATCGAAAGAGTTTCTTACCACCAAAGTCTTTGTTTTTTTTCTAAATGGTAGCCGTGAGCACAACAGGCACGAACTGTAATTTCCCTTTTCAGTGAAACTCACGTTGTTTTGGAACTCATGGGAGATTTGCAACCAACTTCAGGAAGCAGAAGATTGTGTTTTGGCCCTCTCCAGTGTAGGTTTGTGTGATTTCACTCTAAGAAGGGCAAGGAGATGGCCCGTTAGGGAAAAAAGAAAAAGCTCAGTATTAATTAAAATATTTCATAATTTTAAGGAGGGCTTTCCTACTTTGTCGGTGTCACCACTGACTGTCATAAAAAGCTACAATATTCAGTTTACATAAAGTCTTTTCATGAAGGTGACATCACAGAGTATCTCTGAGCTTAGCGAAAAGTCTCAAGACTTTAGAGGGCTTTTTCTTTTGGTCTGCTTTAAATTACACATCCCTCAAAACACCAGCAGAGCTTTACAGTGGCCCCTTCTCCCACTGTAGAAACCTTGTAAGCAGATCTGCTTGTGAATGAAGCAAGTGCAAAATAGGACAAATTCTCCAATCAGTCGCTGCAACCCAGAGCACTATAGTGGTGGAGATCAGGGGCACACTGCAACCCTCTTAAAATCCACAGTTAAAAATCAAAGATGAGAATTTCACCCTTCATTCCTACACATTGGCAACGTAGCACCTGATTTCTTCGGTTTTCAAGGCATTTTGTGTTCCTATGCTTTAAACTGGTGGCTGAAGTTTTGCCTGCGGAAGCAAAAAAATGAACCCACGCCAATGATGATCACGGATAAAACCAACACAAATGTTAATATAATGAGGAAGTTGATTTTCTTCAGGTCCTCTTTTTCACAGTCTTCTGGTCTAATGTTCCCGATGTGCATTTCTTCCTGGTACCCGAAGTTCTGAGTGTACTGGCACGTTAAGTGCTCCACGTTGGGGATCTGGACATTTTTGTTCTGGATCATTGATGAAAGCCAGATGTTTCCACAGCAGTTGAGTGGGTTCCCAGTGAGATACAAGTTTTTAAGGGAATTTTCTAATGCTAAAATATTACTGTTCTGTAATGTACTAAACCTATTGTTCCGTAGGTCCAGAACTTCCACTGGAGAGTCACTACCCCACTTAGGCAGCCAGTTCAGCTGATTTTCAGAGAGGTTTAAATGTTTAAGGTGACTAAAACAAGGCAAGTCAATATTTAAATCTGTCAGGCTATTGCCATGTAAATACAAATATTCCAGAGACATTTCCAGTCCTGATAATGCTTTAACTTCTATTTTCAGTCCGGGGTTCATGGAGAGATCCAAGACAATCAGAGAAGTCTTGTAGAAAGTGTATGCTGGGAGAGTGTTCAGCATATTGTCGGCTAGGTACAAGTACTGAAGAGTAGGAGAATCAACAAACGATACACAACCACTTTCTTCCCCAGCAAGTCTTTGCTTTGCTAATCCCGAGTACATGCTGCAGAGGCTGACGTTATTGCTCTCCAGATTAAGCAGCCTGAGGCTAGGAAGCCTTGAGAAGATATCAAACTGCAGGGCCTGGAGATGGTTGTTTTGAATATAGAGCTCCTTCAAATTCGACAAGGTGCCGACATCGAGGAGAAGGCTTTGCAAAGCGTTGGAGCTCAAGTCGAGGACCGTTAGGGAGACCAATGCGCTGTCATAAGTTACTGCAAATGCCTGAAGACAGTTTTTACTGAGATTGAGGGTGTGAAGGGACAACATTGATTCAAAGAACTCATCTGGAATGGATTTGATTTCATTATAACTTAAGTCTAAATATACAAGCTGGGATAAATAAAGAGAACTTTTGTTTCTACTCGGCTTCTGATCAAGAAGATGAAAAGAAGCATCTAGCCATTCGTTTTCCATGTAGTCCATTTTATTATGCGGGGATTCAGAGGTGAGCTGGATTAAATTCTTCGATAAATTCAGAGTTACCAGCTTATTTACCTGAGGGAAGACTGGGAAGCGAAGCAGTTTGTTTTCGCTCAGATCCAAACATCTTAAGCTGTATTCATCATCTGACTTTGTGGTGTGGAAGCTCTCAATGCTATTCCTGCTAAGGTCAAGTATCTCCAGCTGCCTGAGGTTGAAATCAGAGATGCAAGTAATTGAATTCATGGAGAGATTGAGTTTGGAAAGGTTCGCTAGAGTCTCAAAAGCACCTTCTTCTATTTCCATGATGATGTTACTCTGAAGATCTATCTCCACAAGACTAGGAGATCCCTGAAACATCTTGTGTGATATCATTATAATACTGTTGTCTGCCAAGGAGAGATACCGTAGTGCTGGAGCTTGTTTAATGAAATACTCAGCCATCCCGTTGTACAGACTGTTGTGGGACAAGTCCAGGATTTCCACCTTGGGTAAAAGTCCAATCCCCTCTGTCCCATTCTGAGCAAGCTCATACAAGTGATTGTTGGCAAAATTTATTTCCAGCAAACTCGTCATGTGCGCAAACACTCCAGGCGTGATGAAGCTTATCTGGTTGGAGCTTAAATCCAGGCACTGGAGGGAAGTGTAAGATGATAATGGCATTTCAGGGATGCTTTGGATCAGATTTCCAGACAGATCTATTTTATTTATGTTCCGATGGAGCTCATGAGGGACTTGGTGGAGGTCTTTGTTGTAGCAAAACGCCTGCAAGTTTGCCTGCCAGAAAAAAGAGAGAAAAAGGGTTGTCACATGAAAAATGAAAAGCATATTTGCATGAAACATAGAGAAAAGAAGCACCCAGGCAGATCCTTCTTGTGAAGCCCTGATCATACCACTTTCTCTGAGCATTCACACAGCAAGAACAATGATCCTAACGCTTCTTTGCAGCTCACAGCACTCCTTTTAATTCTGACCTTTTAATTTTCTCCTTTTTGTACCTTTCCCCCAGACTCATTGTAATAGCCTCATGTAAAGGAATTTTGCCTTCTTTCCATTGCACTCAAGCACTGTTTCCTCACTTTGGTTCTGGTGTTTAATTCTCTCAGCTTCCTCACTGTGTTAGATTTTGCAAGCAGAGCTTGCAAAAGAGAATTAAAGAAGTACTCAGAAGAGCCTCGTTCTATTGACAACGTAGGTCCTCAAGCAAGAATATAGCAAAATGTATAAGGACCCTATAGCATAAATCCCCATCCCTCTCCTTCTTAGTCACACCCTCAGATATTTGACCATGTTTTCCTTTAGCTGTGTCTTGGTTAAGAAATGCATCTTTAACCAAATGGGTCATTCAGCAATTGAATGACTTCTGATGCAAATCTCCAAACTCTTCCTGCTTTTGCCACCCATGTTAGTCCTTTTCCTAAGGCAACAGTTGCTCTCTTCTTCTGTGGGGAGCATGCCTTATGAAACCATCCACACAAGACACCCATGATAAAGCATGGAAAATTATGTAAAGTCAACTTTTGAGAGGGGAAATAGCTCTGATGTGCAGTGAGTGTCGTGCCTTTTCAGTCCAATTCTTAGGATCAGGTTAGAGAAAAAAAAAAAAGAAGTGTCAAATTCATCTTCTAGATGCATATGCCCTCACTACAAGAAAGACATTGTGGTTCTGGAGCGTGTCTAAAGAAGGACAATGAACATTAGCAAAAATTTCTTTACTGAAAAAGTGGTGAAACGTTGGAACAGGCTGCCCGAGGCAGTGGTGGAGTCCCCATCCCTGGAGATATTGAAAAGCCGTGTAGGTGTGGTGCTCAGGGACATGGTTAGTGGTGGCCCTGGCAGTGCTGGGTTAATGTTTGAACTTGGGGTTCTTTAAGGTCTTTTCCAACTAAAATGATTCTACAGTTCTATGATTCTATGTCTGTTTAATTGCAGCTCGGACTGAATCTACGTCCAGAGCAAACTTTGAGATGTGTGTTCAAAAGGAACGCTGGAAAAATGAACACGATCACCCTTGCATAAATGTCAGGCTGTATTTTGTTATTAAGGAGAAGATATAGCAGTGGGAGGAAGTGGAATGTGAAAAGCTTAGGCAGCATTTAATTTACTGGAGGAAAACTCTTGTTATGAATGTATTTGGGTGACTGGGTCATGTAGTGTTTGTAGAAAGATCAGAAAGAAAAGAAAGAAAAACATCTATTGAATCTCAACTTCTATGGAGAAGCGGAGTCCAGATTCCATGACGCAAAGTTTTTCAGACATTAAAGAAACATTAAATGTAAAAAAATATTAAGAACCATCTGTTTCATGTGAACTTTTAGGTGAATGAAGTGGCAGGTCTGTTTTGGAGCAGCGGAGCAGTAGTCAGCGTTTTGTGAATCTCTTTTGCGTCATGTGAGTTTTGGAGACCGCACAAAAATGTGCCAGAGAAGTGTAAGGACTCATCCAAACTCTAGATATACACAGGCTGCTCTGCAGTCCTTCCCATGAGACATCTTTCTTAAAGATCTCCAGTAAATGGCCTTTTAACACCTGAACCTTTTCCTTTTTTTTCCCCTCCAACTCACTCAAATCTCCCTCAGCTAAACAAAATAGAAAAAAAAGAGAGAGAGGCATTCTCTGGTTTCTCCCTGACATTATTTCTTTCCTGCAAAGCCACTGTAGATTTGCTCATTTTGAGATAAAATGAGCACAAAGTTCAGCTTAGTTCTAAGATCCAAATAACAGAGGCAGGGGAAATCTCTTCTTACTTGTTTGTGGAAGAGGGAGAAGCCAGAAGAGTACAAAAATAATTTTTCATTGACTGTTTTAATCCACACTGAATTTCTTACCTGGTCTGTTCTGCATAATTTTCTGCCCCAAGGCTCAAAGTGCATGATTTTTGTTCTCATCAGCACCAGTAAGAAAAGGTGAAGCATGTCTTGGTGGGATGGAGCAAACACCATCTATTTACATGTGTCTCCCCTCCTCCCACCCCACAGCCCAATGGCTTGGCAGCCTGAGGCTGGAAAAGAGGTTTTTTCCAGTCTCACGTTCTGATTTCTGCCAGTGCTGCCACCGGTTTGTTTGAAGACCTTTGGCAAGAAGTACTGCAGGGTGGGGAGCACTTTGCTCTTTTGGTGTCTAGTCAGTAACTGGAGAAAAATAAATGATGGAGCTGCTCAAAAGCTGAGCATCGTTTGGACTCTGACTCCTGCTCTTCAGGGCTCAGCACTGTGTGGAAGTTGTCATCCAGCTTAATAAAACCCATAAAAAAGAAGATCCAAGCCTCCACCTGTGTTCTCCTGTGTCGACTCATCAGAATTTGAATGAAAGAATTTAGGCTGGAGCCCCTGTCCATGTCTATTATCTAGATGAGCTGTCCAGGTAGAGACTCAGTGACGCAACCAAACCTTAGCAATTTGCCCAGGTATCCGCTGACCTATGATAGCTGGTGGCGCACACGTTCTCACATTATCTCAAGGCAAGGTAAGATATAATTTGCTAAAAAACCTTGCCTTCTAGAAATTATTTGAAAGCTCCTCCTTTGCCAGTTAACATCAATTTGCAGAAACATCTTTCTTTGGGAGGTAAAACATGAATCAGTTGAAGCCCTTTTCTTTGGAAGGCAATGAGAGTTGGAAAGAACCTCCTGACACTTAAGCTGTGCCTTGTTCTTGCAAACAGGTAGATGTCCTGTAATTTGTGTAATCGGTGCAGCTCACTCCTGCCTCAGGGCTCTGGTAGGGACTTCCTAAAACCTCTTTGACAAGAATTTGGTTCAGTGACAGGAGCACCAGCAGTGGATCAGAGAGGGGCAAGGACTTCTGACTCACGCCTCTGGGATGAAAGTTTCCATTTCTGAGCCTCCGCTATTCTGAAGGTGTCGCCGTGGGGAAAGTACCACAGAAAACAGCGAGACTACAGCGAAAAATAATCATGTGAAGTAAGGAGGACCCTCAAGGGACCCATCAGCTAATCCAGTAGCTCCCTCTTTCTTCAAGCTGTGTTTGGATTTTCACCCTCCTCCTCCTCCCATAGGACTGAAGGCCCAGCACAGGAAGACGACCGACACTGACATTTGCGATGCTGAGCTGTTAATTTATACCAGATGAGCATCCTCAGCCCCTGACTGCAGCGTGTTTTCTGTCGGGGCTGAATTTATCCCAGACGTGTTGCGTAGAGGCTCGGGTTGTTGGCTCAATGAGTGCGGTGGTGGAAGCGTGTGTTTACTTCTCAGCAATCAGCCTGATCTGTGACCCATCAAGAAATAGGACGGGACGAATCTGCTTGGATTATTGCGTGTCTTGCCCAGCCCTCATGTGACTATGATACATGGGACCCAAGCTGTCATGTTTACAGTGGCTTCATCAGTCTTGCCTCTCCAGGCAATGGACTGAGCTACACAGTCACCTTCCCAAGATCTTTTTATATAGACAAAGTCTTAATTTCTCTGGAATTCAGGAAGTGCAGCAATACGGCAGGGTGGGCAGGAATGGAATGAGTCCCATAAGGGAGATGTGTACAGCTAACAAATTATTTTTTTTCCCTATTTTGGAAATTCTTGAGGATTTGTGCTGAACAGCTTCAACGTTCAGGGGAAAAAAAAAAGGTATTTTTAAACGGCTTGTTACAGTCAGAAGCACTTGGATAGGGAAGGGAGAAGGTTCAGCTGTGAACATTTATAATATCACACCAGGTGCTTGCAAAAATTCAAGGATTAGATTTTGTACTGGAGCACGAGCCTTTGTCACTTCTTTTGCCTCCAGCAAAAGTCAGGTACAGCTCCCCTGGCAGCAATGCTGTGTCAGGGCAGAGGAGGTCACCCTCCCCGTTATTACAAAAGGGTGGGTATAGATGTATTTCACAGAAGATGCTTTATTTAAAGCACAAAGAACTTAGACCTGATATAAAGGAGTTGATTTTACATCTAACTTCTTTCTCGGCCTCAGCCACAGAATCCTTGTACAGTCTTGGGGAAATCAGGTCATATTTCTTTTAACCACCTCCCTTTAGGAAAAAAAAAAAAGGGGATAATAACCCTTCTCTTTTCCCCTCCTTTTATATGCTGTCACTACAAGTACACGGTCTTGATGAGCACCCACTAACCCAGCCAAGCCCAGTTCTGCCATCACAGAGATATTGGTCCTGGGGGGGATTTCTCCTCCCAGAGATCCCTCTCAGTGCCTGCAGCAAGGGGGTCCCAATCTCATCCAGGGTCTCAAGGAGCCTGAGCAGGGAGACAGCCTTACCATCTCACAGGACATCCCCTCTATGGGCTGATGGTTGGAGGTCCCTCTGTTCGCCACTGCCAGGAGGAGGATGACGATGTACAGTTTCATGGTTCTGCAAGTGAAAGTAACTACAGTTAGACTTCAGATGTGACACAGTGGTTGATGCATGTGAAAGCTGGCACCAGATCATCATCTGACATGGAGAAGCACACACGCAGTGCAATAAATTAACCATTTCCTGAGCCTACAGCACTTACGACCTACCTATGCCCCTTTGCATCTCTGAGCCTGGTGGTTAAAAGAGATTTATATGAGGACTTGAAAGGAACATCCAAAGCATTTCATGGGATTTTCAGTGTGATTTCAGCTGTTACCTAGCTGATGCTCAGGACACCCAATGAAGTCCAGATGTTGAGGCTGGGCAGCGTGTCTGGCAGCCACTGAAAACCAACTTACTTTCACTCTCCCCATAGAGGCAGCTCAGGTACTTTCAACTGGGCTGGAACTTTGGGGTGTCAAATCCTGAGCAAAGTGAACCAGTGCCACTCAGAAAAAAACAAGAATTGGGAACAGTTTTCATTTCCATCCACAATATTTTCCACTTTTCTCATCCCAGAGAGTCAAAGCGCTTTTGCACATTCATCCATATTTGTCACGTTAATATAAACAGCTTCAAGAATGGACTGAGAACCTGTGCAAATGTTAGTTTTCTGTTTTATATATTTCAGGTATGGTAGACTCTTAAGTACCTTTGAAAGCAAATGCCCTACAAAGAGACAGATATAAAATGGAATGGATTTGTGTGAAACACAGGATTCATCATAGGTTAACATTTTGGAAAGCTCTCCAGAAAAGAGCATTGAAATGGCTGCGAAAGGACTCTGTCACCGGGCAGTGGAATTAAAATGCAAACAAAGCTAAGGGAAAGCATTTATCCTTCAAATGGCGTGTTTCTGGATGGACACTAATGAGGCCTTTGGTGGTTGTCACCACTGATTGCCCTCCAGAAGCCACTTCGTCATGACAGCTTGTGCTGCAAACACGCCAAATCTGTATTTGTACGGCTTCTTGCTGGCAGATCTGAGCTGGTCCTACCTGCATCCAGGACTGGTGAGACACATGCCAGCTCTCAGCTAGAAGCCATGCAGCTGTACTTATCTAGCTCTGCTCTTAAGTCCTTCCAGGGGCAAGCCTGCATCTGGCAAGCTCCAGGCACACACCAATCCCATGCATGTGTTGCCGCCAAAAAACAGCATCAACGTAGCGTTACTCAGCGGCTCCCACCCACGGAGCATCAGGAGGCTGGAAGCAACAGAGACGAGATCATTCCCAGCTGATGGAGATCCCTTGGCTTAGTCACTGCTCGAGGGATGGAGCTGTTTGAGGATATTTGACGGCCACGCTTCTGCAAACAATGGCAACTGCTGAACAATACCAACAGATTGACTACGGGAACCTGCCCATCCCTCCAGTTCCCAACCAGAGAAGAGAGCTGTATACTAGGAGGAGAGAAACCAGGCAAGCTTAGACCATAGCTACTTTGTTTTCACATGGCATATTCCTTCCAGTTCAGGGAAGCAACTCATGGTGGATGATGATCTGGGACCCCAAGGTGAAAGAGCTTGGGGTTTGTCTTTGGGACTCAGCAGCAGGATCGGAAGTCTGTTCCTCTCATTTAAAACAAAACCAAGGATGTTCATTCTCTTTCTGTTTCATTAACATTTGCAAAATACACCAAAATGATCCTATGGAAGGAGGAATTGCTCTGTTGTTCTCCCTCTGCTACTCAGTCCCCAGGCAGGGTTGCCTCCCCTAAGGAGTTAAAAATGAGCTTTATTGTTTGGGTATTAGTTTGCTGGAATTGGAAAAGGCCAAATGTACCAATGATTAAGAGGCTTTACTCAGAGTCCTCAAATGGAAATTACTTCTGTTTAGATCCAATGAATTAAGCTAAGGAAATCTACATGGATATTATCCACCACAGAGCATCACCCTGATGCATCCAGAGCTCTCTGAGGTATCTTGTCGCACTGACAGTGCAAGAAATAAGCTCTTCGCTTCTTCGTAATAAACCCGATCCAAGGTCTTCACATGCCTTGAAATTTCCTAAACGGTTTATAAAACAACTGGAAAATTGATCTAATTGAATACAAAAATGTGATTTAATGGCTTACTGTGTAAGACAGATCTGTAGTGAGCAAGGATGCTGTCCCTCAAGGTGTTTCTAAGGTGGCTGTCACACCTTGAAGCACTAGGATGTGGTGGTCTCTTCCAAAAAAGAGAACATATGGGCTCCATCCAGAGGAGGGTAAGCCACTCCTCTTGGTACAGGACAACCTCTTTGCTCCAAGAGATTCCCTTCCCAAGGTGATTTCCAGTTCAGATGTCCAGCTGAGATGCTGCATCTGTCTTGGGAGACTTTTAAAACCCACCTGGACGCGTTCCTGTGTGATGTAGTCTGGGTGATCCTGCTCTGGCAGGGGGATTAGACTAGGTGATCTCTAGAGGTCCCTTCCAACTCCAACAATTCTGTGATTCTCCTGCTCTAGCTTTTCTCTGGAAAACCTTTAGACCCTCCGCAGCAACACCGAGCATGACACAGCACTGTGTCCCCCTCCTCTCTGTCCTCTGGGCAGGTCTCAGCCCCCTCCCTCCCATTGCAGAGCTCAGGGCGCCCCATTGCCGTGGTGTCAGAGAGCATCACCACTAAACCTTTCCTCCTGACACTGACATCTCTAAATACAGCTTACAAAAACAGTCCGGGAGCAGCAACGGCGGCAACTTGACCTAAAGGAACTTCTAGTGCTCCGCAGCTTTCCCAGAATTGCAGCAGCTTCGTGCTCAGTGCCAGTTTGCTCCCTCTGGCAGCTGTGATAAAATTCCTGGCGTACGTCAGAGCAGGACTGAGCTCTGAACCCCATTCGGTGTCACAGCTTTCCATCCCAGTGCTTCAAAATCACCCATCCCCATCTGACAAATATAGGTGGTTTCAGTGATAACACCCACAAGGAGTTTTATTAAGTGGGTCAAGTAATTTAGCATCTAGAAAAAGCACGGTACCCAAACCACGTCAGCCTATCCACGTAGAGACAGGAGGGCAACGGCAGAGAAGAGCAGTGATTTGCTCCAACTCACATCTGAAACTGGAATAATCAGGGTTTAATCCCAGTTTTCGCAGTTCCCACTCCAGAACTCCATTACAATATTAACCCTGAAACCACTTCTTAGATGTTGCTTCTAGCCAACAACAGAAGCACCTTCCAAATTTCCCCCCAAAGGCACTTTTTGTTACTGCTTAGACAATTTATAGACATATTCTCCTGCACCAAAGAGAGGTCAAAGAAAAAAATACACAAAACACAAATTGATCTCCCCAGGGTCTGCCCCTTTTCCTACACAAGTGCTGCTAATTTAGAGCCTTCAGGGTTAAAAAGGGTGAATATTTCACATTTACCTTGATTCAAGGGCTTCTCCCATCCCCAAACACTCCTTCTCATGTCTCTGAAAAGCATATCCAGCTCTTCAAAGCCCCGATCAGCCCTGGAACCGATGAAATTATTCTTTAGCTTCGCGTTCACCCATCCAGGACGCCAAGAGTCTCTCACTCGCAACTTCGGAATGAAGGCATTTTCAGGGGAAAAAACCTTATTTGGGACAGTTGTCTGCTTTAAATTATGTTGCTTGTCTTCCTCCGGACTCCTCTCCAGGCTCTCGCTGGGTCCTAGCCACCGCTGTGCTCCGGACGGAGTCAGCTCCTGCGCGACATCCTGCAGCCCTTTGCTCGGGGCAGGCGTTGAGAAGCGAGGGGGGATTTTTTTTATTATTTATTTTTTTTTTACCAGAGGTTTTTTTTTTCCTCGGGGGAATAAGTGACTTATCGTTGCCACTGCCATTGTTTCGCTGTGTGCGTGGTGCAAGGCGGCGTGTTTACTTTAGGGTTTGGTGTCCGCGAGTCGCATTCCTGGAGGGTTGCAGCCTCCTGCTCCTAAATCACTCACTGCAACACTAGGGAAAGCGAGCGCTGGAGGATTAAGGGTTTCCAATTCGCGGTTGATAAATACAAAGCACAGAATCTGGAAACCTGTCCTGGAAGAAATGACTATTTTTTGCAATGGTCACGCTCATTAGAGTGTGGTAAAAGTCTGCTGGCAGAATGTGGCTTCAGCGTCAGCTACAACGCACCTGACTTGAAGGATTTTCATGGAATTAGGGACCTCGATAAAAGCAAGAGAGTCCAAACATCTGGTTGAGCTGCTGGATTTTTGGCAGAGAGTACCTAGTGCTGAATCTACTGGATCTGCTAGGAAAAACTCCCGTTGCAAAAGAGGTGCTTTCTGTCATGCAGAAGGTGAACGCCCAGCTTTTTATTTATTATTTTGTGCTGCCCTCTAGGGCTGCAGCAGCTGTCTAATTGCTCGTTTCCTCTCTTCCCTTTGCTAACTAAACCCTGCTTCTGAAAATTCTCACCTTTACATAGATTTCCCTGTTGCTTTCTCCCAACCTGATGAGCCTGAACTGTTGCAACAAACTATTCCTGTGGCTGAAACATTCCACCGGAAGAGTTGGGCTCTTTTGCTTTGCGGTGCACCCCGAAACGAGCTATGAAGAGGTGGCAGTACGCACGCGGGCGTGATTTGGTGCAACGGATAGAAAAATCCACATTTAGCTCTCAGGAGAAGGCTCTGCCAGGGAGATCACCACAACCTTCGACAGGTTGCTCTTGACTGGGCTCTCATCAAGCTGGTTTTGATCACCTTCCCCCAAGCACATCTTGCCTTGAGCTTCCTTTGGTGGGAGCTGGTTGCAGAGCTGGTTTTCACTTTCATCCCTTTGGCACACTCCCTGGAATCAAGCCATCCATCTGCAATCTCCTTGAGGCCACTGGGAAACTCAAGTCAAAGATGCAGACCACTGTGGTGTCCAGAGCATTAAAAGGCTTTTTCTTTTTTTTTTGATGCTCTGAGTTTATGGTTTGCCTCATCAGCAGTGTGCAACAGCATTTGCAACACACAGACACTTTCGCAAGGAAAACCTCAAATATCTGAGGTCTTCAAGAAGAGAAGAATATTCTTTTAAAAAAAAGAGAAAGAATAATTTGATTTGATCTGGAGGTGGAATATGAATATCATGCCTATAAATGAGAGTAGCGAGTGCTCTGGATGGTTGCAGCTTCGCATTTTTCTACACTTGGATGTTCAGAGCACTTTAGGAAGTTTATATTTTCAGGGGTAAAAATAGCAAGGTTTCTGTTGGTTGTGCATTTTTAAAAAGCCAGCTCTGTTCCTCAAGCCATCGTACTGAGCGGTCAAGCAGCTGTGCCAGCTGAACTGTGAAGAAGAGCCTGGACAGGAACAAATGCCAAAGCAGGAGGGAAGGGCACGCACTGATTCTGCTGCCTAGGATTTTGCTTCATTAAAATCACAACTTTAGAGGACACCAACTGCGCTAGGAAAGATCAGCACTGTCCTTACCGTCTTTTCCCTTTCCTAAAGGGAATTTCACAGCAAACACTTTCAAAGACCCTGAAGCATCTGGCTGGCTTCCCATTTCCAATATTATTATGATTTGAGCTACCCAGCAGTTTACACCTTAAAGTGGTGTTGAAACATGAAGGCAGTGTGTCTGCCCAGCAAAGCAAGCATCACCTGCATCAGACCGATTGGGTCATCTCCATTGGACAGATTGGAGAATCCAGCTTCTTTTGCTCACCCCCATGAAACAGAAACATAGAATCATAGAATGGTTTGGCTTGGAAGGGACCTTAAAGACCATTTAGGTTGACCCCTACAACACAGGTGGGGACACTTTTCACTAGACCAGATTGCTCAGAGCCCCTGTCCCATCCCAGACAGACTGAGAGAGTTGGGGCTGTTCAGTCTGCAGAAAAGAGGGCTCTGAGGAGACCTTATTGTGGCTTCCAGTGTCTCAAGGGGGCTACAAGAAAGCTGGGGAGGGGCTTGTGAGGATGTCGGGCAGTGACAGGACTAGAGGGAATGGATTGAAGCTGGAGATGGGTCGGTTCAGATGGGACGTGAGGAAGAAGTTCTTCCCCATGAGGGTGGGGAGACCCTGGCACAGGTTGCCCAGAGAGGGGGTGGCAGCCCCATCCCTGGGAGTTTTTCAGGCCAGGCTGGATGGGGCTCTGGGCAGCCTGATCTCGTGGGGGATGTCCCTGCCCATGGCAGGGGTTGGAACTGGATGATCTTTAAGGTCCTTTCCAGCCCTGACAATTCTGTGATTCTACGATACCACCGATGCACTTCTGACTCCACGACATCAGGCCCTTCCTGACTTTCATGGGATCTCCTCAGCATCTGCCGCCAGCTCCAACATGAGCTGGATTTCATCCCACATCACCCAAAGCTGGGGGGTCACCTTGTCAGACCCCTCCTCTCCTCCAAACCCTCTTCCCAGGTGGACTAGAGCAAAAACCAAAAAGCAAATCTCAGCTGCTGGCTCACACCAGCTGGTCCATAATCTGCTGCAGGTTCCCAGGGGCTTTAGCTAAGCAAGAGTATGTCTTGATGATTATGTGTCTTGAACCTCCAGACCTTTTGGAGTCTGTCCATCCACGACACTGCTGCTTTCTAAGGCATTGCTTGGGGATTGAGCCCTGGGTTGAGCCGCATGAATCAAACTCTCCAGAGCAGCAAAAAACCCCAAGCTCCCCCTTTAGAAAGTGGGTCCAAGCTGCAAGGGCAGGGGTGGGACAAGTCTTGCTCCCTCTCGACTGGAATAGCTCCCTGGTGATTCATCCCACTAGGGAGCTGGAGACAACATTAATATTAACCCTATTAAAAAAATAAACAGTCCATGCCGTCCTCAGCCAAAACCTTGGAGAAAGAGTCACAGCTCCAGCTCCTGCAACCCTCCAACATCTCCAGGATCTGCGTCTCCTGCTTCGGGTTGCTCCTGCCAGCCGTGCTGTGTTTGGACTTTCATGGGCAGAAGCAGCCTTTTGCCCCTCTGGTGTCAACTCCACACGTCACAATAAGCACACCTACATCTCCTGCATTCCCAGCACGGCTTTTCTCCCGCCTTTTGAAGTTGTTGCCCTTCTTCCTTCTCTCTCCTTCCTCTCTCCATATGTTCTTCTACCAGGTGTTCAGCCAACATCATTTCCTCACCAAAAACTGGTGTTTCCAATTAAATGGACACATGCGGTTTAGCCAGTTCCTCTACTTAATTCATTTTTTTTCCTATTCCTTTCTCCAGGAGAGAAAATGTAAAGGAATGAGAATTGCAGGAAACCCACCAGTCTGGAGACCTTGTGAGCAAGGGGCTGAGTTAAAGGACAACAGGGAAAACAAACCCACTTCCATCAATAAAATGTGACATGGACTGGCATTTGCAGATTAAACAAACTGAACTTAGAATCATAAGACCATAGAATTGTCAGGATTGGAAGGGACTTGAAATACTCTCCCTAGAGAACAAAATTCCTGGAGAAACTCAAATTCACAAACCAAAGGAGAATCTTTTTTTCCACACTTTTGATCTAAGAGCAGCAAACAGATAGAAAAAAAATGGCTTTTAATTAGTCAATTTTTCTTGTACTGGCAGCAGAGTCAGTGTTTGAGGTGTACTCAATTTATATGATCCAACAGGAAATAAAAAGAAGTGAGGAAAATTATTTCTGATAGATGTGACTTGCACCCCTCGAATCCATCCATCATTGTATTAGTAAAAGGCCAAGCACTGATACAGTCACTAAGCTGTAACCATCTGCTTTAAAAAGAGATGACTGAGTATGAATTTTTATTACTGCAACCTAAAGGATTTCAGCATGTTAGAGTATTAAGACGATTTTAAAGTTGAGAGTATTACATCTTATTAAAATCAATTTTCCACTGTTGTGGGAAGCCAGACTTGGGCTTCTGTTTAAGGGAAACATATTTGTACTTTTTATCAAAAACACAACAGGGTTTGGCTTTAGAAAAATGATCCGTGACGTTTACACGAACGAGGGTTTTCTAAAACTTTACTGTCTCCAAATATTGCCTGAACCTTAACTCCTCAGACGTGGCAGAACGCTATCAGTAAGCCATCCCTCACCCAAGGTGACATTCAAGCTGTCAGGATCGTAAGAGTAGAAAAACAACGCCGCTGTCTCCCACCGCGTGCTCCAAAGGGAGAGTTCAATGACAGCGGTGACAGCAAGGAGAGCAGGGTGAGCTGAGCAGCATCTCGCCAGTTTATCCCGGGGACTGTGTGATTTGCCCAAGGCTACGTTAAGATTCGGTGTCGGAGAGCGTTTCGCGAGCGCACGATGCTGATCTCTGCAGCACTCCTGGTTCAGAGCGCTATAATGCAGTAACTCCATAAATAGACTAAAGTCCCGTGAAGAAAGAAGAGGGGGGGAAAAAAAAAAAAGAAATCTCCCTGTCTCCCATTACTGTAAACACAGAGGAGAAAAGCAAGGCAGGCATCTGACAACTCTATTGTTATAAACTAACCGGTGCCTCCTTAACGTAAAGGATCTAACTCGCTGCAGCACAAGTCCCTGATGGATTAAATATACAGCTGCGTGGATAGAGGCATCTACACTACGTGTTCACTCAGTTCCCCAACCCGTTCATAAACACCGTATATTTTATTTATACAGTGCCTTCCTCCTCTGTGTTATTTTTAAAGGCTGCAGCTCTAAACCACCAGAGCCCTCATCTCTCCCGCAGTCGAAAGCTCAACTTTCCGGCACGCTCCCTGTCTCGCACGCTTCTCCACGTACCTGCTCTGTGGCTGGAGGAGGAGGAGGAGG